GGTGAGTGTGACTGTGTAGGTGAGTGTGCGTGTGTGGGTGAGTGTGCGTGTGTGGGTGAGTGTGCATGTGCGAGTTAGTGTGCGTGTGTGGGTGAGTGTGCGTGTGTGGGTGACTGTGCGTGTGTGGGTGAGGGTGAGGGTGCGTGTGTGGGTGAGTGTGACTGTATGGGTGAGTGTGCGTGTGTGGGTGAGTGTGCGTGTGTGGGTGAGTGTGCATGTGCGAGTGAGTGTGCGTGTGTGGGTGAGTGTGCGTGTGAGGGTGAGTGTGCGTGTGTGGGTGAGTGTGAGTGTGTGGTTGAGTGTGCGTGTGTGGGTGAGTGTGCGGGTGATTGTGAGTGTGCGTGTGTGGGTGAGTGTGCGTGTGTGGGTGAGTGTGCTTGTGTGGGTGACTGTGCCTGTGTGGGTGAGTGTGCGTGTGTGGGTGAGTCTGAGTGTGCGGCTGATTGTGCGTGTGTGGGTGAGTGTGCGTGTGTGGGTGAGTGTGCGTGTGTGGGTGAGTGTGCGTGTGCTGGTGAGTGTGCGTGTGTGGGTGAGTGTGTGTGTATGGGTGAGTGTGCGTGTGCGTGTGTGGGTGAGGGTGCGTGTGTGGGTGAGTGTGACTGTGTGGGTGAGTGTGCATGTGTGGGTGAGTGTGCATGTGTGGGTGAGTGTGTATTTGCGGGTTAGTTTGTGTGTGCGGGTGACTGTCGGTGTGTGGGTGAGTGTGCCTGTGTGTGTGAGTGTGCGTTTGTGGGTGAGTGTGCGTGTGTGGGTAAGTGCGCGTGTGTGGGTGAGGGTGCGTGTGTGGGTGAGTGTGCGTGTGTGGGTGAGGGTGCATGTACGGGTGAGTGTGCATGTGTCGGTGAGTTTGTGTGTGTGGGTGAGTGTGCGTGTGCATGTGAGGGATTGAGTTCACCATCATATGCGAGAGTTGAACTCCTCTGAGACACTTTCCCTACTTATACCTTGCAACCACCCATAATCTCCTCTGCAGACCCGTGTGCCGCCCTCAAGTGTGGGCTGGATGCTTCCTGCATTCTGGATTACTATAGCCAACCTGTGTGCAAGTGCGCCATGGATGGTTTCTTTTTCAGCGAGTCTGACAAGATGTGCTATGGTGAGAAACTTCAGTGCACCATGGATGGTTTCCTTTTCAGCGAGTCTGACAAGATGTGCCATGGTGAGAGAAAGTTCTGCTCCGCTGAGCTAGAGACATTACATTTCTTTACACAAACACGTGTCAGTAGGCAGCACTGAGAGGCAGCACTGAGAGGCAGCACTGAGAGGCAGCACTGAGAGGCAACACTGAGAGGCAGCACTGAGAGGCAGCACTGAGAGGCAGCACTGAGAGGCAGCACTGAGAGGCAGCACTGAGAGGCAGCACTGAGAGGCAACACTGAGAGGCAGCACTGAGAGGCAGCACTGAGAGGCAACACTGAGAGGCAGCACTGAGAGGCAGCACTGAGAGACAGCACTGAGAGGCAGCACTGAGAGGCAGCACTGAGAGGCAACGCTGAAGGGGCAACGCTGAGGGGCAGCACTGAATAATGTGTCATAAGATGTCCCTTCACACTGACATGTGTAACGTGTTTGTCCTTTCTGACGATCAAGGACCCTGGAGAGATAGCATGAAAGAGAGCAAGACACACACCCAACCTCCTTCACATACTTTTTCATTCCCGCTTTCCCATGCCAGAAGGTTTGTTCTTAACTCGTTCCATTCGATTGTCCGACTGATTGTCCTCCTGTGGTGCCCACATCAGCCTTGTGTGACAAGGATTGCGGAGCTGCTCAGTGCATCGTGAAGGAGGGCAATGCCCAGTGCACGTGCCCGGGGAGCCTCGTGTTCAACAAGGCTAAGAAGATCTGCATCGACAAGTCCGTCCGTCCTGGTAGGCGTCCTTGTCTCCATTGTAGCATGCTTGCCAACAAGCAACAATCAACCTGGCAGCTCTCTTGTATGCAATCAGAAAGGAAATTCCTCTTGGTCATCCTGTCAGGCTGTTGCTTCGGTAACTCCTTCCCTCCCCTACCCATGGCAGCTGCAGACCCTTGTAAGACACGGGCATCGAAGTGCAGGAAGAACTCAAAATGCGTTGCGAAGAACGGGCAGGGGATCTGCGAGTGTGACGCCAGCTACACCAAGAAGAACGGCCAGTGCACTGGTGAGCTGACCAAGGGCTCTGATTCATTGACTGGTGACCACGAGATCAAGATGTAAAGATTTCAAGAGACAGTCCAGATTCGAGAGGCAGTGCAGACTCGAGAGGCAGTGCACGGAAACGCACTGCTTTATGTCAGTCCACGTTGAGAGCCGATGGTGGTTCTGTGGGATCCTCTTGTCTCTCCTCCTTCCAAACCACTCGTTTCAGTTTTCCTCACCTGCTGTTCCACTCAGCTGCTTGCTCATTCCCCTCTCCCCCACCTCCCATCTCCCACCCCCCTCCCACCTCCCACCTCCCTCCTGCACCAGCCATATGCAAGCCGGCCTGTTCCGCTAATGCGCAGTGCAAGGTGGTGGGAGGAAAGGCGGCATGCAAGTGCAAGGCAGGGTTCCGAATGAAGAACAACAAGTGCAAGGCAGGGTTCCGAATGAAGAACAACAAGTGCAAGGCAGGGTTCCGAATGAAGAACAACAAGTGCAAGGCAGGGTTCCGAATGAAGAACAACAAGTGCAAGGCAGGGTTCCGAATGAAGAACAACAAGTGCAAGGCAGGGTTCCGAATGAAGAACAACAAGTGCAAGGCAGGGTTCCGAATGAAGAACAACAAGTGCAAGGCAGGGTTCCGAATGAAGAACAACAAGTGCAAGGCAGGGTTCCGAATGAAGAACAACAAGTGCAAGGCAGGGTTCCGAATGAAGAACAACAAGTGCAAGGCAGGGTTCCGAATGAAGAACAACAAGTGCAAGGCAGGGTTCCGAATGAAGAACAACAAGTGCAAGGCAGGGTTCCGAATGAAGAACAACAAGTGCAAGGCAGGGTTCCGAATGAAGAACAACAAGTGCAAGGCAGGGTTCCGAATGAAGAACAACAAGTGCAAGGCAGGGTTCCGAATGAAGAACAACAAGTGCAAGGCAGGGTTCCGAATGAAGAACAACAAGTGCAAGGCAGGGTTCCGAATGAAGAACAACAAGTGCAAGGCAGGGTTCCGAATGAAGAACAACAAGTGCAAGGCAGGGTTCCGAATGAAGAACAACAAGTGCAAGGCAGGGTTCCGAATGAAGAACAACAAGTGCAAGGCAGGGTTCCGAATGAAGAACAACAAGTGCAAGGCAGGGTTCCGAATGAAGAACAACAAGTGCAAGGCAGGGTTCCGAATGAAGAACAACAAGTGCAAGGCAGGGTTCCGAATGAAGAACAACAAGTGCAAGGCAGGGTTCCGAATGAAGAACAACAAGTGCAAGGCAGGGTTCCGAATGAAGAACAACAAGTGCAAGGCAGGGTTCCGAATGAAGAACAACAAGTGCAAGGCAGGGTTCCGAATGAAGAACAACAAGTGCAAGGCAGGGTTCCGAATGAAGAACAACAAGTGCAAGGCAGGGTTCCGAATGAAGAACAACAAGTGCAAGGCAGGGTTCCGAATGAAGAACAACAAGTGCAAGGCAGGGTTCCGAATGAAGAACAACAAGTGCAAGGCAGGGTTCCGAATGAAGAACAACAAGTGCAAGGCAGGGTTCCGAATGAAGAACAACAAGTGCAAGGCAGGGTTCCGAATGAAGAACAACAAGTGCAAGGCAGGGTTCCGAATGAAGAACAACAAGTGCAAGGCAGGGTTCCGAATGAAGAACAACAAGTGCAAGGCAGGGTTCCGAATGAAGAATGCTACAGGCATTGCCGCCCCTACTACAGCCGCTCCCGCCCCTGCTACAGCCACTACTGCCCCTGCTTCAGCTGCTACAGCCACTGCCGCCCTTGCTACGGCTTCTCCCGCCCCTGCTATAGCCGCTACGGCCACTGCCACCCCTGCTACTGCCGCTACAGCCACTGCTGCCCCTGCTACGGCTGCTGCCGCCCCTGCTACAGCCACTGCCACCCCTGCTACTGCCGCTACAGCCACTGCTACCCCTGGTACAGCTGCTGCCGCCCCTGCTACAGCCGCTACAGCCACTGCCGCCCCTGCAATAGCGGCAACGGGTGCAGCATCCACAACCGTGCGATAGCGGCAACGGTGCGACATCGCCGACCGTGCAATAGTAGCGCCAATCGTCAGACTTTTGCAGAGAAGAGAGGACGGGCTGCTCCCGAAGAAAGAAGTCGAAAGCCAAAGTACTACGTTACTCTGGAGATGCTCAAGGCGAGGTGACTTTCGAGTCGACTCAAGAAAAACGAGGACGGGCTGTTCTTGAAGAAAGAAGAAGAGAGTGAAAGTACTACGTTACTCTGGAGATGCTTGAGGCGAGGTGACTTTTGAATCGACTAAAGAAAATCGAGGACGGGCTTCTCCTGAAGAAAGAAGAGTAAGAAAGCAATAGTACTACGTTACTTCGGAGATGCTCGAGGCGAGGTGACGTTTGAGTCGACTCAAGAAAAACGAGGACGGGCTGGTCCTAAAGAAAGAAGAGTAAGAAAGCAATAGTACTACACTACTCTAGAGATGCTCGAGGCGAGGACGATTTCCGACTCCTGCGGTGATGGCGAGGCGGGATGAGAGGGAATGCAGGCAGCAGGCAGGCAGGAGGAGGCTCGTCCTTCCCCCGGGAACAAAGCTGGGAGCGGAGCAGGTTTGGGGGAGGGTGGTGGTGCTGACGGGTTGGACCAAGGCGGGAGCCCAGGCTCGGAGAAGCCCAAACCAAATCGTCTCCTGGTTTGGAACGAGATTCCGTTTGAGGTCCAGGTTCTGTACGAGATTGCTGCTGTTAAGCGCGATCGGCCGCACTTAGAGAATAAAGTGATTGCTGCCGCTATCAGGGCTAAGTACGCGGTTGAAACGAGCCCAAGGACGATCAGGAAGATCGGGGAGGAGAGTGATAAGTGGTTTCGTCTGGCTGCAGGGGTGGTATCAGATCATGACCAGTCTCGAATGGAGGAGGCACTAGCAGAATGGGTAACCAAAGAGGAGGAGACGGAGAAGAGAGAGGTGACTCGAGAGGAAATTATAGCGAAGGCAAAGGAGATAGGGCCAGGGTTCAAGATGCGGCCGGGTTTCAGGTATGGCAGGTCGTGGGCGACGCGGTTTATGAAGAGGTTTGGGCTCCTGCTGCTGTTGGAGACTGGTACCAATGATGCTGATAACGAGGATGAGAGAGGAGCGGGAGGAGAGGGAGGCGACGGTGATGATGATGACTGGTTTGAGAGAGAATTCGGAGGGCCAGGGGGAGGAAGAGGAGGAGGAGGAGGAGGAGGGGGAGGAGGAGGAGGAGGGGGAGGGGGAGGAGGAGGGGGAGGAGGACGAGGAGGCCAGACAGGGAGTGATATGTGGGCCAGCGAGGGAAGAAGGCAAGGGATTGATAGAGAGTCTGGGGAAGAGGAGGAAGAGCAGGGGGATGAGGACAGTAGGGGAAGGGAGTTGGGAGGCGAGGAGGAAGAGGGGGAGGAAGAGGCGGAGGAAGAGGGGGGAGATGAGGGGGATGGCGGTGAGGGAGGGGAGATGGATGGTGGGTTGGTTAGTTTCGTAACTCTGCAGATGCGAACAGCAAATCGGGCTGTCGGGCAGGTGTTATGTGGGTCGGCAGGGGCAGGAGGCGCGGGTACAGTACCGGGACAGGGAATGGGAAGAGAGGGGGCGGAAAGATATGGAGGGAAAGGAGAAGGGGGCGGAGACGGGGAGGCCGGGGAAAAAGACAGGGAAGGGGAAAGGGAAGGGTATAGGGAAGGGGACGGGGATGGGGAAGGGGACGGGGAAAGGGAAGGGGACGGGGATGGGGAAGGGGACGGGGAAAGGGAAGGGGACGGGGATGGGGAAGGGGACGGGGAAAGGGAAGGGGACGGGGAAAGGGAAGGGGACGGGGAAGGGGAAGCGGGAGGTGGAGTGAGTAGCCCTGAGCCTGATCACGAGGATGGAGGAGAAAGGGTTTCTTCAAGGGTAAATAGCCCTTGGTATGCGGAAATTTTGAATGAGCTGTTTGAAGAAGTGGGGGTAGATGGAATTAGCACAAATGGAGATGGTGGGAGGGGGAGAGAGGGGGGGATGGAGGGGAAGGAGGGCGGAGATGAGGGAATAGAGGAGGGAAGGGTGGGGGACGGAGGTGAGAAGATAGCAGGGGAGGGGCCAGAGGTTGTGAGGCAGGGTCCTGATTCAGCTGCTACTGATGCCGATGGTGCTGTTGCTGCCGATGGTGCTGCTGCTGCCGATGGTGCTGCTGCTGCTGCTGCTGCTGCTGCTGCTGCTGCTGCTGCTGCTGCTGGCGGCAGTCCTGGTGATACCGCAGCTGCAGTAGGAACAAGAAAGAGAAGAACCAAGCGGGTTAGGTGGGAGAACGAGCAGCAAGGGGGAGAGACGAGGAGAGGGGAACTGGGGAGAGGTAGGCAAGAGAAGGGCATGTAAGCCATGAGGTTATAGCTACCGCACGGATCCTTAGCGCTGACGATGCGACGCGACGGCAGCCGGTGCAGCCCAAACCCCGAATCTCTGGCGGAACGTTGCGGGAGACGGCGATGGAGGTAGAGAGGGAGAAAGAGAGGCAGACGGAGGGGGAGACGGATGAGAGGGGAATGAAGAGGAGGGAGACGTCGATGGAGGTGGAGAGGGAGAAAGCGAGACAGACGGAGGAGGAGGAGAGGCCGTTTTTTACTTTTGGGGGAATCGACGATAGAGAGTTCCCGATTTTCTATCTTCGATACAGGAAATACCTTACCACTGACGTGGCATGTCCATGCACACTTTGCGAGCCATCGGACCGCAATGCAGAGGCGTTTGAAAGACAAACAACAGGAGGAGGTGTGGATGCGCCGGGCACGCTGATTTGTGAGCTGATTGGGGAAGTGCTTGACCTTGAAATGGCCCAGATGCTCGCTGAGGGGGGAGAGTGGCTCATGCAGTGGATGGGTGCCCTGTGCGAGATTATGGAGAGAGTGGACGATACGGTAGTGGAGGAGAGACTGTTCGAGAGGGAAATGGGCGAGAGGGAAGTGGGCGAGAGGGAAGCGGGCAAGAGAAAATAGCTGATAATGAAGTGGAGGTATGCCGTGTGCGAGATTTCGGGCGAGAGACTGGTCGAGAGACTGTGCGAGAGGGCAGTGGACGAGAGGGAAGTGGGCGAGAGGGAAGTGGCGAGAGGGAAGAGCGACTCATGCAGAGGATGGGTGCCCTGTCCGAGATTCTGGCCAAGAGAGCGGTTGAGGGAGTAGTCGAGATACTGGGCGAGAGGGAAATAGACGTTGTGACGGTCGAGAGGGAAGTGGACGAGAGGGAAGTGGGCGAGAGGGAAGTGGACGAGAGGGAAGTGGGCGAGAGGGAAGTGGGCGAGCGGGAAGTGGGCGAGAGGGAAGTGGGCGAGAGGGAAGTGGGCGAGAGGGAAGTGGGCGAGAGGGAAGTGGGCGAGAGGGAAGAGCGACTCATGCAGAGGATGGGTGCCCTGTCCGAGATTCTGGCCAAGAGAGCGGTTGAGGGAGTAGTCGAGATACTGGGCGAGAGGGAAATAGACGTTGTGACGGTCGAGAGGGAAGTGGACGAGAGGGAAGTGGGCGAGAGGGAAGTGGACGAGAGGGAAGTGGGCGAGAGGGAAGTGGGCGAGCGGGAAGTGGGCGAGAGGGAAGTGGGCGAGAGGGAAGTGGGCGAGAGGGAAGTGGGCGAGAGGGAAGTGGGCGAGAGGGAAGAGCGACTCATGCAGAGGATGGGTGCCCTGTCCGAGATTCTGGCCAAGAGAGCGGTTGAGGGAGTAGTCGAGATACTGGGCGAGAGGGAAATAGACGTTGTGACGGTCGAGAGGGAAGTGGACGAGAGGGAAGTGGGCGAGAGGGAAGTGGACGAGAGGGAAGTGGGCGAGAGGGGAGTGGGCGAGAGGGAAGTGGGCGAGAGGGAAGTGGGCGAGAGGGAAGTGGGCGAGAGGGAAGTGGGCGAGAGGGAAGTGGGCGAGAGGGAAGTGGACGAGAGGGAAGTGGACGAGAGGGAAGTGTGCGAGAAGGAAGTGGGCGAGAGGGAAGAGCGACTCATGCAGAGGATGGGTGCCGTGTCCGAGATTCTAGCCGAGAGAGCGGTTGAGGGAGTAGTCGAGATACAGGGCAAGAGAGAAATAGACGTTGTGATGGTCGAGAGGGAAGTGGACGAGAGGGAAGGGCGAGAGGGAAGTGGACGAGAGGGAAGTGGGCGACAGGGAAGTGGCCGAGAGGGAAGTGAGCGAGATGCTAGGCGAGGCATTCGCAGAGAAGGCGGAAGCACAGGAAAAGCCGCTGGAGAAGGGAGCCTGGAATCCGAAGGGGAGGGGGAAGGAGAGGCAGCCGATTGATGGGAAGGCGGAGAGGGTAGCGCCGAAGGAGGGAGTGCAGGCGGAGAAGAAGAGGCGGGTGGGTGAGGGGACAGGCCGGGCGATTGAGGGGGAGGGGGCGGATAAGCCGGGCTCTCGGGACGGCCTAGCGACCACACATGCTGGCGTGAAGAGAAAGGGGAGGACCGCGTAGGAGGGGGAGGAAGAGGAGGAGGAAGAGGAGGAGGAGGAGGAGGAGGAGTCGTGGGACGTGATGGAGGTCTCCCCAGCGGCCGTATTTTTGAGACGTCTCAAGAATACCCTTTATACTCGCGATGGGGGATGTGGTGGGGGAGGTCTCCCCGGCGGAGGACGTGGGGGAGGTCTCCCCGGCGGCCCAGCTGCAAGAATACCTTTTATACTCATCGGACGTGGTGGAGGACTGGTGGAGGTCTCCCCGGCGGCCGAGCTGCAAGAGGATGCGAAGCCACCCGCATGCCAGGGTGGAGTCAACGGTATGGGGAAGGGGAGAGGGAGGAGTGGCACGGGGGTTGGGGGAGCGGTGATGCAGGATGGGAGGGTCCGGGATGGTTGGGGGATCGAGGCGGGTGGGGGAGAAGTGGGGGAAGGTAGCATTGGAGGGAGGGAAGGGAGGCGGGGAGGGAGTGGGGGAATGCGTGGTGGGGAAGAGTCGGTGGGTCCTAGTGGGATTGTAGGAGGGGCACAGGGAGCAAGAGGGGTGGGTGGTGGGGTAGGCAGATGAGGACGTGCAAGGGGAGGGCGTCGAGTGGTGGGGCGTGGAAGAGGAGAGGTTGTGGGTGCAGGGGGGAGTGGAGGAGACGCGGAGGGAGACGGAGGTGGGGCAGAGTGTGGGAGGGGAAGAGGAGGCAGAGGAAGAGACAGGGGAGGCAAGGGAGACAAGGGGGGAGGGGAGGAAGGCAGGGGAAGAGGAGTGGAGCGCGGGAGGGCGATAGTGGGTGGAGGAGGAGACTTCATGGGTGCAGGGGAGGGTTTATGGGCGGAGACAGGCGCAGACCGAGGATGGGGAGTGAGAAGGAGGATGAGCGGGGGCAGGGAGGGAGGTGGGGGCAGCAGAGAAGGCAGGGGGAGAGGAAAGGAGGTGAGGGGGGCGGTGGGGGGTGTTCGTGCAGGGGCGAACGCGAACACGTTCGTGTTTGCCTCTTGCTCATCCCTAGTGGGGGGTGTTGGATGTGCTGCTGTGGGTGCAGTTGGAAATGGAGGAAAGGCGGAGGGAGAAGAGGTGGGTGGTGCGGCGAGGGACAGAGAGCTTGGCTGGGATCTGTGCTATAGGGCGCCGCGTGAGGCGGTAGCAGCAGACGGAGGAGGGGGGGTGAGAGGGAGGGGGAGCGGGGGCAGGGAGGGAGGCGGGGGGGGGCAAAGAAGGCTATAGGGTGACACCTGAGGCGGTAGCAGCAGACGCGGGCAGCACGCACGGCTGCATTGGTGTGCAGAAGGGGTCTCCCCTCCTAGAGGACCCAATCCACCATGCTGCATGTGTCCTTGCTCCAGGAGCAGTTGCAGCACGGCCAACGGCGGGTGCCAGACAGTCCGGGCCGGGAGGGACGGCGGGAGGGACGGAACGCGATGGAGGGACTAGTAGAATGGCGGGAGCACAGATGGTGAAAGGTTACCATGGGGTGGTCAAGAGGCCTGACGGGAAATTGTACGTAACGGTGCATTGCGGGCGAAAATGGCTAATCCCCGGAGGCCGAGTAGCCACGTTAGAGGACGGAGCACCCTTGGCAGCAATCGTAAGAGTGGTGAATACTCCGGATCCTCATAATGAAGAGATGTGGGACCTGGTTTCGGGAATTCTTGAACCAGAGGAAGTGTGGTTTCTCCGCAGCAACCTGGCCGCAGCCAAGGATTGGCTCGGGAGGCTGCGTGAGAAGAAGTTCGGGTTTTGGAAGAGACGGTGTTGGGGAATGCATCTTCCGGTGGGATTGAAGCAACTGCAACCGGTGTGGGAACGCTGGGTGCATGCGGCGGCAGTAGCAACAGAAGAAGCGGCAAGAGCAGCACTAAGACGAGTAGAAACAGCACCAGAGGAAGATTTTGAAAAAGCCGCAGTGGCGTCAGCAGAAGCAACGGCAGGGGCAGCAGCGGCAGCAGCAATTACAGTCATGGCAGCAAAAAAAACAGCAATAGCAACAGCAAGACGAGCAGCAAAAATCAAATGTCGAACCTCCAACGCTTAGAGAGGGTGTTTTTGAGACGTCTCAAAATGTCAACCTCCAACGCCCCACCCCCACCCCTCCTCCCAGATGGCAGACGTGGTAATCGTCGCGTCTACAATCGCCCCTATTGACCCCCCTTCTGCCAACACTCGTCATCATCATGACCACCACCAGATGCTGGTTCCAATGTAACCAATAGCCCTCTATTCCCCCTCCCCCCCCTTCGCAGATCGCGGATGTGGTAATCTTTGCGTCTACAATCGCCCCTCTCGACCCCCTCCCCCCCTCCACACCATCAGCCCTCTGCACCTCACTCCACACCCACACCACCTCATGTCAAGAATAGTCCTAGGCTAGGTTAGGAACCATAGGAGCCATGGATGGGAGTTAAGAAAAGAAGAGGGGGGTTCACTAAGGAAGAAGGGTACAAGATATGGCAAACAAGAAGAATCTAGGCAAGGAGGTGCACCACCACCACACATGAGACAACTACACCAACACTACAAGCAATTATATAAAATATGAATAACATATTTTGACACCTCACACTCCCACACTCACTCCCTCCGCACCTCCACCACCAACAAATCCTCCTCCTCCCTCTCTGTTGCAGCCTACATTGACGACTGGGGCCGTTCAGCCCTCTCTGTGGCCCAGGAGCAGGGCTTGCCAATGTGGCATTGTGCGTGCGCATGTGGCGTCTGTTTGTAGTACCTAGACGGCTAGGCTGCCTTGTTATTATGGTAGTTTAGTTAGCTTCAGTCTGACACACTACCTTGGATTGGAGGCTATACCAATGAAGCTCCTTATTTCCTGTGTCAAGCCTCTCTGGCATGGGACCGGCTTCACGCACAACTTTGCCAACCAGAATTTGCCAGCACCGATACACTGCAAGCAGGATCAGACCACACAGCATAGCTGCTAACCAATAATCAGCCTGGGCACTTCCCAATGGCACAAAAGTGTCTGCTATCTAATAACACGTAGCATAACACGTACTATACTAGCCGCTTCCTCCGAAATACCGTACTGCAGCAGCACGTTTTACAGGCGGAAGCAAGTCCTCCTTCAGTTGCACATACGTATTTTGCGCCACCAGCTTGCGCCTCCTTGCCCCTTGCCCATCCAACTATGGTTGCAAACTCTTCGCTTGCCCGGCCCTCTTAGATTGCCCACCAGCCCTCTTCACTTGCCCAACTGACCCTACAAAGTGCACAACATGCACTAAGGGAGGACAACAGCCCCTTAATGATATGCTGCTTTTCCTTTCACCACGGTGCACTGGGTATTAGCAGGGCAGGTATGCTTGCACATGTAGTAAGTCGATTTTTTAGTCGACTCAAAAATCAACAGCCCCTTACTGGCAATCCGGTTTTCCTTTCACCACGGTGCACTGGGTATTTGCAGGGCAGGCAGGCTTGCACATGGGTGGTGTGGGTGGGATGGGGGTGGGGGAGAGGGGGGAGAGCATGAGGTCGAGTGGGGCAGCAGGCGGGGAGAATGAGAAGTGGACTGGAAGGAGGAGAGGCACGACGATGCCACGAAGCACCACCACCACCATCACTCATAACCCTTGGTGAGCTCACCAGTGCAGAGGCCGCTCCTCTTGGTTTAGCCGGCGGCACACTCGCGTGTAGTGAGCCTATTTTTTAGTCGACTCAAAAATAGACTCGCAACTCCTCCGGCCGCCCTTCACAACGCACTTGGAGTTCTTGCCACACTTGAGTGTGCCCGTATTACAAGGGTCCAAGTCTGCCATGGATGGAGGAGGGAGGGAAGGAGTTAGAGAAGCATTAGCCTGAGACACGTGGCTGGTGTGGGCACCAAACTGGTACAAACTGTCTTGCATAGAGAGGCGGGGAGAGGCTTTAGTAAAAGGGGCTGAGGTTGTGCCCCACTTGCTTCTACCAGATTGGTGCATTGGGGCTGTTTTGCTGTATTGGTGCTTTTGCCAGAACAAATCCATGTGTGGGGGTATAAGCAGTCGAAGGAATTGTGACAAAACAGAGATTGTAACTCTGGGGTTATGCGCATGCATTCGCACTTACCGATCTTGCAGAGAACTGCTTGTGGCATGTTTCTGTTCTGGACAGTCCTGAGAGCGAGAAAGGTACGGGAGAAGAGACACTCAAGAGGGGGAATAACAGCATCCACGAATATGAAATAAGATTCTGGTGGTTTTGTATGCTCGAAGCGAAACAAATTGGAAGGAAGAACATGGCACCTGGCGTGCATCATGCCCACACACCTTTTCGTGACATGGTAGACACCACCACCAACCTTCAAACATACCCTGCAACACCTGCCGTGTGCATCACTGCTCACACACCTTGTCGAGATAGGGTAGACGCCACCACCCCCCGCAGGTCGAACGATCCACAAGTTTGACTTGCCCGTGCAATCCGGCTTGTTGTAGAATCAAAGGCTTGTGCAGATGTCGTTGGCATACGAGCCATGCAGCCTAGTCGTATTCCAGTCCACGGTGATTTTGATGTCGGCGTCTAGCTCCCTCTCCTCATAATAGTAGTCCATGAAATTGCTGGAGGTGTGTTTTGAGTCGACTCAAAACACACCATTTTGACGTCGGCATCTAGCTCATTGTCCTCGTAGTAATAGTCCATGAATTTGCTGGAGGTCAGATAGTTGCACACGGTGGTGCCACTGGCTTGCACTTCCAGAACTGAGCCGATGAAATAGCGAACCTCCTCATCGAAGCCGCTCTGCTGCAGCTGCAGCCTTGTCAGCAGCAACGCATCTGAGGTGAGCAGAGCGAAGGGGGGAAGGAGGGCGGCCGCCATGGCGTCATGTGGGTGATTGAAGCAACGGTTGGTGCGTGCGCCGATGATGCCATAGCGTTGCGGTTAGTGGTTGTCGTGTGGAGTGATCATGTGGGCGCGTGCCATCGAGGTGGTAACACGACAGGGGAAAGAAAATTAGCACAAAATTTCTGGAAAAACAACAACAACAACAACAACAACAACAACAACAACATCAACAACAACAACAACAACAACAACAACAACAACAACAACAACAACAACAACAACAACAACAACAACTACAACAACAACAACAACAACAACAACAACAACAACAACAACAACAACAACAACAACAACAACAACAACAACAACAACAACAACAACAGAGCTACAAGCTTTGCCATGTTAGGGATGCCTCTAGGGGTTAGAACTTTGAAAATGTAAAGTGTCACTACATGATATAAGGTGTGTTCGTCAAAAGGGTATGGTGTGCAAGCAGCTCACCAACGCAGATGCCGTTCTTTTTTATGTAGCAGTTCCCGACATCACACGCGCAAGTCGGTTTTGCATAGTGTGGAGTGCAGACCATGCCCTTCGGACATTTGTCTAGTTTGCACGGGTCTGAAGCAAGCATGGGGGAAGAGAAGAGACGAACGGAGGGGATATTTGAGTCAACTCAAAAGTCATCCAGAGTGTAGCACATATTCTTCGGGCACTTGAATAGTGTGCACGGGTTTGAAGAAGGCATGGGGGAAGTGAAGAGACGAAAGGAGGGAGGAGGTGTCAAACTTATATGCTATAGCTTGTGTAGGCTGTAGTGGGGTAGCCCATATGGGGTACAACCCAATTAGGGTTTCCTACTTGTACCCACCTGCTTGCTAGTTCAATCATTCATTCCTGTTCATTCTTGTAACATGGTTTCAGAGCAGGTCCTAGCCTAGGACCGATCTCTTAGGGCCCACCGAGTAGCGCTACCCCACCCGTCGCGCCAGTGTGATCACGTCGTACTGCCCTGCCCTGCCCTGCGCCGCCCGCAGCAGCGCGCACTGCTTTGCTAGCGCGCCGCCTGCTGCGGCGCGCCCTGCTGAGTCGCGCGCCACCTGCTGCAGCGCGCTCTGCCCTGCCCGCGCGTCGCGTCGCCTCGCGCGCCCTGCCCTCGCGCTGCCCGCGCCGTGCGCCCTGCCCTGCCCGCGCGCCGCGCCGACGCGCGCCCTGCCCTGCCCGCGCGCCGCGCCGCTGCGCGCCCTGTCCTGCCCGCGCGCCGCGCCGCCGCGCGCCCTGCCCTGCCCGCGCGCTGCGCTGCCGCGTGCTCTGTCCTGCTCGCACGCCGCGCCGCCGCGCGCCCTGCCCTGCCCGCGAGCCGCGCCGCCGCGAGCCCTGCCCTGCCCGCGCGCCGCGCCGCCGCGTGCTCTGCCCTGCCCGCGCGCCGCGCCGCCGCGCGCCGTGCCCTG